CTTATCCGTATTTGTTCATTTTCACCTGAATTGTAATAGGATCAGTGTATGAGTTTTAGAAGTTGTCTAACATCACCAATCTTCTCTGTGCACCTGTCTGCTGGCCGATTAGATTACAGCTTATTTCCACTCTGTTGCTTAGTGCATGATAATAGGCATTTCAACATCCCATTACTTTAAAACATAAGAAGAGCTGCTCTGGGTCAAATCAAAGATTCAACCATCCTAATTCCAAAACTGAGCAATCACAGCCACTTAAGGAGAGAGAGAGCAGAAGGAGCAGGGTGAGCATTGCAGGAAAGTGGTCATTCCTGGGTAGACACTTCCATTTTCTAGAAACTGGCCACTGCCATGGATGGAGTTCATACAGCAGCGATTGCAGAGCGTCGCTGTTTTTAACAAACCCCAATAGCTCCAGCCTCCATCATGAGCTATGGGGGACCTGCAGCATCACATCTCACAGTGCTGCTGGGTCACATAACCTGAGAACAAGCCCAGTTTTCCATTTCATAATCATAGAATACCAAGTTGGAGGGTACCTCAGGGATCATCTGGTCCAACTTTTTGGAGGGTACCTCAGGGATCATCTGGTCCAACTTTTCTTGACAAAAGCATGGTCTCAACAAGATGGCCCAGCAGCCTGTCCAGGTGAGTTGTAAAAGCATCCAATGTTGGAGAATCCACCACTTCCCTGGGGAGATTATTCCAATGGCTGATTGTTCATGGTGTTCAGACCAGCCCACTCCCATGCTGCCTAGGGAGGTGGCTGAGTCAACCTAGGAAATCTGCTTCAAGGGTTCCTTCAGGAACAGACTTTCTCAGACAAGTTACACTGTTCCACAGAAAAAATATCTCTTCCCTGTCACCATGGGTCATGCTGCAGCAGTAGGGGCCATATAGAACATACCATTCTAGGATGTACCAAAATTATTTCTAGTTTATTTATAAAGGAAGTCCTAACTAAGCAGTGCTGATGTGTGCATTTGGTTGGAGATGCATCTGGAACCATAATCTCTGGGAAAGAAAGAAGAGAGAGTTGTAACACAGGCAGCAGGAGCTTCATTGCTCGTTAGCCTTGGCCTCAAATTGGCAGGAACCTGTGTGGGGACCCAGCAGGGAGCAGCAACCCCCCCGAGAGCAATAAGCTATTTAAACAGCACACACTGTACTCTGGGTTTGCAGGAGTTTGCATAACTGTGCAAAGCCCTCAAGCCTGGGATCTTCTAAATAAATGCCACATTTATCAGTATCTAAAGCAGAAGAGCATCCCATCTACCCTTCCCGGACCCCATAAAACAGTGTTGTTAGTGAAGTCAGATAGCATCATTTGTTTCTTTAAGGGTTAAAAAAATAATCCACAGCCCCTGCCAGGAAGAGGCAGAACTGAACAGGCAGCAAAGAGTTAGAGCCAGAACAGAGACAGAAAGCTGAATCAATCATCAAAACGGACCGCAACGAGAGCGTATACATACAGAGCAAGAAAGAAAGTGAGAGGGCGTTTTGTTTGGGTAGCTAGTGTTCTCTGGACGAGGAGAGAGAAATTCTCCTTCAAGTTTTTAATGCCACTCTAAATATTTATAGCAAGAGTTTGGCCAGCTGGTGAGGCAGCGGCGGCAGGGCGCAGGGAGGGGAGGCTGCGTTTTCCCCAGCGCCCCAAACATCATCCTCTAGGTCGTCTCTTTAGTCAAGGAGAGAGAAGAGGCTGCATATGTTACCCTCCCAGTGACTCATCTGCCGGAGTAAAGTCCAGTGGCTCCTGCGCTTCCCCTCCCTCACCTCACCTGGCCATTCACACGTGTGTGTGCACACACACGCACAGATTGTGCATGAAGGAAAGATGCCAGAGCCTCCAAAAAGCTATGCCAGCCTAACTCCACCCCGTCTTTAACATGGCTCTGAGTCTTCAGGGTTGTGTCTAGCCTTCATGTTGTTATGCTGTATTGAAAAGTCTCTGGGAAAGGCCACATATGGCACAACCCATGAGACAAAGCTGCTGTTTTTAGAGGAACAGGCTGCCCTCATCCCTGCAGTCTGCTGGGCCATGGACACGGGGGCAGGAACATATGGAGGACTGCAAACACCAGCGCAGCACGGGAGTTGACATAAGGGCACTGTGGCTCCCAACAATTTTTGCTCATCTGCCTCGCTGTGACTAGACACAGACATGACTCACCCGTGAGCTTTGGCTTTGAAAATATGAGAAGGAGTTTTGCTTTAACCTTGTGTTTCCCTGTAGTAGCAATGCTTAGAAACGACATTTTGGATTCAATCCCATCCCAGAACAAAGGAAGGATTTTCAGCACAGATGAGGGGCCCAATTCAGTCACCCAGGCATGGGCAGCCGATGCCATTTTTCTTAAAACACCCGGGAAATTGGCACAGAGCTGGGACACATCCCACTGGACCTGGTGGAGACCCCGGCCGAGGGCCGGCTGGGGTTGTGGAGGATCCTCCGCTGGCACAAGGCGCTCAACTGATCCCAGCCCTGGTGATTGTTTTAGGCTCATCATTACAGATACCTACATGGGAGTGTTAAATACAGACACCTACATGTGATTGAGGCAGCTGAGCACCCATGGAGACCTAGCAGTGCCTGGAGGACTGTTCACCTACCCAAATAAAGGTGGTGCTTACTGGTGCCCTGAATAATTCAGCAGACTCAGTTGTGTTGACTAGATCTCACTGGCTGCAAAAGGAGCTTGGACACCTTTTTCATTTTGGCCCAGGTGGCCAAGAAGGTCAAATGGCATCCTGGTCTGTATCAGGAATAGTGTGGCCAGTAGGACCAGGGAAGTGATCTTATCCCTGTACTCAGCACTGGGGAGGCTGCACCTCGAGTCCTGTGTTCAGCTTTGGGCCCCTCACTAAAAGAAGGACATGAAGGTGCTGGAGCGTGTCCAGAGAAGGGCAATGAAGCTGGTGAAGGGGCTGGAGAACAAGTCTGATAAAGAGCAGCTGAGGGAACTGAGGTTGTTTAGTCTGGAGAAAAGGAGGCTCAGGGGAGACCTTATTTCTCCAACTACCTGAAAGGAGGGTATAGAGAGGTGGGGGTTGGCCTATTCAACCAAGTAACAAGTGACAGGACAAGAGGAAATGGCCTCAAGTTGCACCAAGGGAAGCTTAGATTGGATATGAGAAATAATTTATTTGCTGAAAGGGTTCTCAGGCATTGGAATGGGTTGCCCAGGGCAGTGGTGGAGTCCTCATCCCTGGAGGTATTTAAGAGTCGTGTAGACATAGTGCTGAGGGACATGGTTTAGTTGAGGACTTGTCAGTGTGAGGTTAATGATTGGACTCGATGATCTTAAAGGTCTTTTCAAATCGAGGCAATTCTGTGCAGGCATCTGCAGTTAGGGACCCCATTGACGTGTCTGCCCTGGGGAGTTAATTACCACCCTGGAACCGGCAACCCTGGGACCCTGGTTTCGGGCTTGCTGCACTCACTTCAGCAACCTATTCCAATCCTTCCACCCGTGATGCTGATCTTCCTCATGACACCTGCTTAAGAAGTTCTTTGCTAAGGGTTTCAGAGAGCTGAGGTCCTCGCATAAAATGCCACTGCCTGATGTTTTCTATATGAAATATCAAGCAGCAACATAAACTGCTCCAAGAGTGAACTTCAGTCTGTGCTTGGCAGAGGTGGCTGGGGTCTCCTTGCCCACCTTGGGGCAGCCCTGAGCACAGGGGTCCCAGTGCATCAGCATGTCCCACCAGACTGCAATAGGCCAACGTTCCCCAGATCTCTCCATAAGGTGGAGACACGGTCCGTCCCACTGGGGTCCCTGAAAGCCCTTCTCTCTCTCTCTATCTCCATGAAACTACAGTGCCAGTGCATTACCTAGCTTGAGGCATTGCAGACTGTTTACAGGCTTCTAGAGTTCCCAGGCACTTTAGGACAGGGTCTCGCCGCTGTTTCCAAATGGACAGCCAGGACTTTTATAAGTGAACTTTCGTCTCCGTGTCTATTTATTATATGTAAACATTTGCCAGAAAAACACCACTCGGGCATGCTCAGTACCGGCCAGGTCATTGCAAAAGGCAACGGCGGCGTCACATGCGAGAGCAGCGAGAAGCCCGCGTGCGCCTATTCTTAGCGCTGGAATGTATACAATGCCCCACCGCCTCGCCGCTCCTGCACACAGCTCCCGAACGCGGCAAAAGTGACTTCAGAATAAACACGTCCAGAAATCACCCTCTATGAATCACTTACCTACTGAAAGAAACGTCCTGTGGGTTTATAGGTTTTTATCCAGGCTCTAGCTATGGAAAATCTCAGCAGAGAATAAACGACAGAGAGTAAGTGCATGCAGTGAAGGACAACAGAAGGTAAATGTTTCTACCCTATCGTTTCACTGCAGGTTGAGCAGTTAGCCATGACCATAGATACTCATCATAATGTTCTGCCTGGCACTTAATTTAGTCATTGTGTGTCTGATTAACATAAAAAACCCACAGCTAAGCAGAGCTAATAAATAACCGTTTTAATGCAGATTCCCAGTCTCTAGGGTTTGGTTTGCCCTGCTGCAGAGTTCAGCTCTGCCAGATTTACATTCTTTGGGAGTGACTAACTCTAGGGGAAAGAGGCGCAAGCTACTAAACTGCTAATACTTTAAAATAATGAATAAATGTCTAAGCTCATTTATTCAACGTGATTAAAATGAACAAACCAATTGCTTCAGCGATCCAGCTTTCATCCCAAATCAGTGAGATAGCTTCAGTCTTTTTGCTTTTGCCAGGGACACAGGCAGTGCTGACCTCAGAGCTGCAATCTATCTGATAACTTTATGAAAATTTTAAAGGGTCTTAGAGACCTTTTAGCTTCTTTATTATTTTCCCACTGTACTTAACCCATGTTCCATTTTTATGCGTAACAGCAAACGGATATTTAGAGCAACATCAAAGTCCTGATTTGTTCCCTTGGAGCTGGATATTTCAATAAAAGCTGCTAAGAATTTGTTTTTTTCTGCCAAGTCCAGAATTCATTTCTCTCCTATTTTGCTATGGAGGAAGGATCCACTGAGGATTTTCTCTTCAAAGACCAGGACTTCTCCTCCGAACTGCTGAGGCAGCTGAATGCTCTGCGGCAGAGTGGGATGCTGACTGATATCACCCTCTGCTCCGGGGGCTTCGAAATCCCCTGCCACCGAAACGTGCTGGCTTCCAGCAGTCCATACTTCAAGGCAATGTTCTGTAGTGACTTCAGAGAGAGTCGCCAGGCGAAAGTCATCCTAAAGGGCATCGATGCTGAGATTTTGGATCAGATTATCCTTTACATTTACACAGGGGAGATTCTTATATCTGCTGAGAATGTCCTGTGCCTGTTGGAGACAGCCTCCATGCTGCAGTATGCTAAGCTAGTTGAGGCCTGCTCTGCCTTCCTCCAAGACAAGCTGACTCCTGACAACTGTCTGAGCATGATCAGACTGGGAAAAGTATTGAACTGCCAGAGCCTGAATAAGAAAGCCAAGGCTATGGCTTTGAAATGCTTTCCTGAGGTAGCCTCTTCTGAGGATCTAAAAGACCTTTGTCCCTTGGAGCTTATTGATTACCTTGGGGACGATGAGCTCTGTGGGGAGGAGGAGCAGGTCTTTGAGACACTGATGGTCTGGATTCGGCATGACCTCCAGGCAAGACAAGGCTACATCCAAGAGCTGTTCAAGAAGGTCCGGCTTCAGTACGTCCATCCAACTTTCCTCTTCCACTTCATCGCCAATGACTCCCTCGTTCAGTCCTCGCCCACTTGCAGGAGCATCATTGAGTCAGCCTGGAGACATATGTTTTCCTTGTACAGCACCAACACACCTGACATCAAGCCCATGCTGCATGTTCCTCGCAGGTACTCCAACCAAGAGTTTCTCATCATTATTGGTGGCAGGAAGGATAGCCAGCAGACGACGAGGGACGTCCTGCTCTATGATGACAAGACAAACCAATGGCTAAGCCTGGCCAAACTTCCCATGCGCCTGTACAAAGCCTCTGCAGTGAGCTTACATAGCAATATTTATGTGCTGGGAGGGATGCCTGTTAGCAATAACAAAAGACCCGTCAGTGATAATATCTACATTTATTCCCTCAAACTTAATCAGTGGAGGTTGGCTGAGCACATGGTAGTTCCACGTTACTCCCACCGAAGCTTGGCATATAAAAATTATATTTTGTCATTTGGTGGAATTGGCGAAAACCAGGAAATCCTGAACTCTGTGGAAAGATACGATAGCATCTACAACACCTGTGAGAGCATGGCAAACATGCCTGTTGCTGTCCTTCACCCTGCTGTTGCTGCCAAAGATCAGAGGGTCTACCTCTTTGGGGGAGAAGACATTATGCAAAACCCTGTCCGGCTAATCCAGGTAATGGTCAGTCCTGCTTGTCGTAGGCAGTTTCAGCTAAAGTATTCAGCAGGTATCACCCTCCTGAGGAAATCAAACCCCCCAAAAAACTTCATTGTGAGTTGCAGCAAGAGGCAGGATAAGTTGACACATGGCTTCAGGGAAGTCTTATCTGCAAGGAGCATTGCAACTCTCTCATCTTCCTCTTTGAGTGTTTTTCAGGCAGAAGCCCTGAGGTGTTTCTTAGGGTGTCAGTCAGCTCTGCCGCTGATGGGCACTGGGGCCAGGGCTGCTGCTGGTGATGCTCTGGCAGGCAGTGGCCGACCTCCCTGCCTGGCTTCATGCCTGTAGCCCACCTTATGGAAATCAGTGCTTTCCACTCAGCGGCCAGGCTGGGGTCTCCACTGCTGCACCTGCTCGCTGCCAGCAAAAGCAAAGATTCGTGATCATTAGAGCAATTAGATTCTCACTCATCAAAGGGCCAGGGCTTAAACTGACAGTTATTTCATATAAACAGTTGTGTTAAAAATGTGGTTCCTGCCACATGCTGCTGGCTCTCTGCCTGCTTTCAACGGCTACACTCTATTAGGAGGAAAAAACACATGAAATCCTTTCTTAGCTGATTTGATCCTTTAGCAACATTGCAGTGTTACTTTGCCCATGATTGTTTTTCACTGGTTTAGGTGTTTTAAGTAAGAAGGATCTCTACAGGCTAAGATGGCAGCCAGCACATGAGCAATACTTCCTTACAGTGATAAAGCTACTTGATTATCAGGGGGAAGGAAATGTATTTATCAGTTCGTGGGGAGATGTCTTGGAGATATTTTCTATATTAAGAAGCGGATGACATGACATAAAAGTCTATGTCACCCAGACTGAATGACTGAATGATCATCATCTGGCAACAACTCTTTTTCTCACATAAATTGATGACTTAGATACCACTCTGAGTCCCATCAACAAGTCCCTTTGCCAATCTGAGTGCATACCAGCCACCAGCACAAATAGAGCAGCTGGGCAAACACGGTGGCTGCCAGCAGAGCTAGATGAAGTTGAGATTTGTTTGCCCAGGAAATTGTTAAGGCTAAGGCAGGAATACACAGAATAACTGGAAAATGAAATGAAACAGTTTGTACTTTGGGAGAGCATTATCCAGGAGTTACAGTGATTTAATGGCCGTGCAAAGATTTACAGCTGGGAAGCTTGCATATGGCAGATACACTCTGCCTTAGAGCGTGTGCTAGCATCTCCTCAGCAGACAAGCCTGGAGAACTAGAACACTTTCCAAGGGGACATATTAGGAAAAAAAGTGGATAAATTCTTGGATTTCTAGCAGTTCAAGCCAGAGGATTGTATTCATTAGGAAAAAATAAAAAACTTAAATTCCTCTGTAATTACAATTGCCAGTCAAAATGCAACATAAACAGCTCTTGTGTATCTTTATTTATTTGTCAGGTTTACCATGTCTCCAGGAATATGTGGTTTCGGATGGAGACCAGAGTGGTGAAGAATGTCTGTGCACCAGCTGTCGTGATTGGAGACCAGATTATCATCGTAGGTGGTAAGGGCTCGATTTCACCCTCCCCCCTGCCCAGCTCCTGCAGGATTTTGCAGGCTTCCTGCTTGGGGTTCTCCCTCAAAAAGCACATGAAGCTTTGGAAGGAAGGGAGGAGTGTGTCCACCCTCCATACACATTTCTCATGGGGTCTCACGGCCATGGAAGTGAGGACAAGTTCTCCACAAGGCACTTTCTTATTCAGAGTAGCAAGACCTGGGTGGGGGGCAACTGGAGAAAAGCCAGTGCAAGTTACTGTTCTGCAGAAGAGAGGAAGCCAAGGGCATGGGTGTCCTGCTCCTCCCCTGCTGACTCACAGCCTGGCCATCCCTGACTGCTCTTCTTGGAAGGATGGAGAGCACGGTTACCACAAGGCCATGGATGGCTTGTTGGGATGGGTGGGCTACAGCGTTATGAAGGGTAGATCAGTCCTGTAGCTGCCTCCCCGGAGTGACTGTGATACATCCTGAGAGGGGCGTGAAACACTCGGAGAGAGGAAACTTCTCAGTGTCTTTTTCAACCTGAGGATCAGCCTCTGCTCAAGGCAGTTTGATGGATCAGGTCATTGGTAGTTTGGCACTTAATGCAGCTCCCCTGACCACAGGCTGGCATGAGGAAGCATGTGTTAGATTATTTAAGGGAAAATGAGACACAGGAAAGTTTTAGCAGAGCAGAGGACTGAACCCAAATCACACAAGACTCAAAGTGGTCTTTTTCAGCAGGAGGCCACTGCTACCCTTTGCAGTGAGAACAGGGGAGAGCTGAGTCAAAAGGTCCAAGACTATCAGGCTCCTGTGTGGCAGATTACACTGATTCAGACCACAGTGCCCAAAATGCAGTATTTTCAGCTCTCTTATCTTCAAATGCATTAATCTGAAGGGCAAGTCTGCTGCTGATGAGCTTAAGTTCTCAATTTATCTTTTATTTATCTAACAAAAGCCACATAAATTCATGTTAACTTCAAACATCTTTCATTTTGCTTGGAAGTAGAGACATTCACCATGGTCAGGTTTTATTTACCAGCTTCCATGCCAAAACATTGGCCAAACTCTCTTAAGTTTATCAACAACGGTAAAACCCACAAAAATAACATTTTCTCTTAAAAATAGCTTTCATCACATTTCAGGTCCTTTTTGCATGACTGGTCACATCATAACAAAGGGGAGTGGATTGGCCTAAGCAAGACAAGCCTTGATTTTTGTTAGGGGAAGTGGGTTCAAGGCCTGCAAAACATGGCCCAAAGCAGTTTGTTTGCCATGGGCACTCTTGATTATCTACAGAGATACATGAGCAAGGTACTGCTGGTCACCAAGCTTCCAGACCTCCACTGCTCCAGAGCAACAGCTCTGGTACCAGCCCTCACCTCTCAGCAGATGTGAGGTTACATCACCCCTCAGTGGAGGATCTGTCCATTGGGTCACTGGCATGGTGGCCAGAACAGACGTGGCGCCAAGGGCTTGGGAGTGGAGGGAGCACCACTGGCACTGTGCTGTTGAGCACCCAGCTCCATTCAGTAGACAGCTACGACTCCAACTCAACAAGGCATTGTTGCTCCCTTCCCATTTGTCATTGGTTTCTGTATTTCTGAGTGAAGTTCTAGGAGTCTGTTGGGTGAAAAGAAATACTTTGGGACATTTGAAGGAATATGCAGGAAGCTGCAAGCTCCAACTGTGTTTGACAGGTTGCTTGCCTGATCCGATGTGTTTTATGGGGTTTTTTATGGTTTTTATGGCTGCCAAGGTGCTATGAGACAGGGTGAGGACAAACAGGAAGGGAAGATAGACAGACAGGCATTCTTGTAACACATCATCATTTCCCAGCTTAGATATCTTAATTCTGCCAAATTATGTACCAATATAGTAGGTTTTATTGAAGACTAGCAGGAAATATAGTATCATTCCTTCTGCTGGCCATAAACTCTAACTCCCATCTGTCTCTTCCACCTCTGGCTTTGCCTTTAGGGTACACCCGAAGAATAATTGCTTATGATACAAAAGGCAACAGGTTTGTTAAATGTGCAGACATGAAGGACAGACGAATGCATCACGGGGCCACTGTCATCAAGAACAAGCTGTATGTCACAGGAGGACGATGTCTTACTGTGGACAATGTCATTGAGGACTTGGATTCCTTGGACTGCTATGATCCAGAGACTGACACATGGACACCAAAGGGAAAACTGCCACACAAACTCTTTGACCATGGGTGCCTTACACTCCAGTGTGTCCCCTGTTCTAACCTTCTCTAAATGACCTTTGGTACTTCCCAGGATGTTTTGTGCTTTCCTTCCCAGAAAGGACCTACCCTGCTCTGCAGAGAGCACATGGGGAATCCTCATGGGGTCCCACAAACTCTTGACCTTGAAGGTACCAGCAGCGTTAGTCATTCCCCAAGCACTCTGCCAGAAAGGTCATGAGCTTTGTGCTCACGTCATATTCACCTGACCAGTATTGAGTAGGGTGCTGCTAAGTCCAGCCCAAAGGTCTCACTCAGAGTCTCAGCATAAAACAGGAAGAAGATACTGGGTAAGAACCTGGTGCAGGATTTGGCCTTGTACAGACTTTAAAATGAAAGATGCATAGGAATGCTGGTATCTCCAGGGAAAGTAAGATCTGGGTAATGTGCATGTGTTAGCATGAGAACTCAGCTGCATGCCACAGCCCTTTGCTTGGTGCTGACCAAGCTCCTCATTTCAAGTGGTGGGAACATTTAGAATAGGAAGCTCCAAGCTCTAGTCTTGTAGCCAACCCGGCAGCAGCTGCCTGCATTAGCTATGGTAGTCATCTCATAAGAAATAAAATGTTAATGTTCCTAACATCAGATTAGAAACTAGCAAAAGGCTGATGCTTTGATCTGAACTCTCACATTGCAACAAGATTTGCAGATTTGACTTTTCTGAGTTGCTGCTCTTTCACGGTGCAGGGAAGATTTCTGTTCCATCTGCCTGCTCTCCAAAGGAGCAGGAGAAGGCAGGATGGAAATGAAGATGGTCTGCAACTTCTTTATAGAGACATCTTGTTTTGCAGGTAGCTTGCTTCTCCTTTTGCATCAGGGATAGCAGTTGAGTTAGTTAGGAAGCCCTCTGGCTGATGGAATTCCTGAAATCTGGAATAGCAGAGAGAACACATGGAGGAAAGGGGATGTAAAAGAGAAGAGATATTTGGGAGGAACAGAATTTTTTTTTTCCCTTTCTCCTCTCTCCAAACCACTGGAAAACAGCAATGAGAGAAAGCCAGTGACAGGAAACCAGCTTTCCAAGAAGAGCAAGTCTAAACCTGCCACTTGGCAAAGCAGCTCTGGCTCCACCAATATTTTTGTGGGGTTCTGCCACTAAGTGCATATTTTTAAAGGGAGGGGATTAATCATCAGATACTGAACAGGCTATGAACTGCTATCAGGTCACCAGGCTTGGTACGACTGCTGAGATAGCAAGGAGCTTTAAAGATAGCACTGATGACCATCATCCAGAGAAGCAACACCCCTCTTTCCTCATATTTGAAATAAAGTGGGACTTTTCCAAGGGTACCGGGTGCCGTGAGGAAACCACGCTCAACTCTTCACCAAAGGCTGCACAGCCATATGGTCACCACCACGTTGCAGGACGCCAACTCCAACTGCTAAGATCCCTTCCCATAAATCTGTATCTGGGAGCAGAAGGGAGACAGAAATAGTTAACAAAGTGGGGGGCTGGAAGGAAGAATTGCATATCAACTGCTGTTTTAACAATGTGAAATAAAATGGTTATTATTGTTTGTATGAGCTTTGTGTTCAGGAGTCCCCATTGTTCCCTCTGCATTGTTGATAAAGGGAATTGTTTTTGTACCAGCAGTTTTTGCCAGGGTTTCCTTCTAAGGATCTGAGTAAACCTGCAAAATATGAGTGGGAACCCAAACTCCTTTCCCGGCTCAGAAGCCTTTGGCTATGTTTCTCCTCTGTCTTTCAGCCTATATCATCATGTCCTCCCTGTGCAAAGCAGGGCTAAAGCACGGCACTTGCCAAATTGGACTGGAGCAGTGATTCATTCTGCTTCCTCACAGGCCAACTTCAGTTCTCTGGAGAAAGAAGCCTTGTCATGGCCAATTATGGAAAGTCTGCCCTGGGGAGATGTTTATTGCTAACCCCACAGTGCCGCCTTCTCAAACTCTTTCCTGTTGTGACCCCACTCAGCTCCAAAACTCCAGGAGACGCCAGTTGCTGCCATGCATTTTAGCTGACACGGATTCCTGCCAGGCTCGTGACTGTACCCAGTACCGAGGAAAAAAGCTGACTTGGGGCCATAACCCCATGTTTGCAAACCATTGCCACAGTCATTGGTTTACACTTGGAAGCAAACAGATTTTTTTAATTTGCATATCATATAACTAGTGATTTTCTCAGCATTCATGCGGGAACCAAACAGTACCTTGCACAGCTGTAGCTGGGCAGGAAATGGGGCAGTATTAAGCACAGCATCCTTCCCCTGGCCCTCAGGGCAGGGGGATGTTACCAGTCACTCCCAAGTCCTTAGAGATGCCAAGGGCTATGGCCAGCTCTGCTCTGGCTGCAACTCTCTGCTCCTTCCCTTCACAAACTCATGCCCATAATTCAAGGCATTTGGGTTTGCTGGGTAGTAAATGCAAAGTCTGGTTTCTGATAGATTTCTGTCTTGTGGTCAGTTGGCTTTGATGCAAACTCTGACCAAAGCTTTTGAGGCCCTTTGCAAAAAGGGTTGAAACCAGAGAACAGTGTTAAGCCTTACCGAGACAGACGAAGGCGGGCAGAGTCTCTCTGTCACAGGGGTGCAGCGGGACGTGCAGCTTCAAGGCAGGGGATACGCAGCCCTGGGTCAGATGCTAGGAGGAGAAGGGATGCTGCCTTTCTCATCAGATGCTGGCCACCACCTGACCCACACAGAGTAATACCTATTCCCATCCCGAGTACTTTGCAATTGTCATACCCAGTGGTGCTATGGGTGAAAGCACTTCTAGCAAAAGTTGACCAAGGTGCCCCTTTCTCCAGTGTCAGGAGGGGACTTTCCCAAGCAGGATCTGCAAGGCTTCTGCTACCTGGAACAATTTCTGAATCACCACATGCTTTTCCAGAGGTCTCATCATCCTAATATTCGAGCATTTAAGCACTCAATGACATGGGAATCCCCTATGGGAGAGCAGCAAGGTACTTCACAAATATGATGACAGGCCCATAAAGAGGTGGGAATTTGTTGCTCTTTTAATAACCATGGAAGCCAAGGAAAACAGAGTTTTAAGAACGGGTCATTGATTTGGGTGTCAACTTTTAGAAGGGCTGAGCACCTGCCATTTTTTTTTAAATCAGGGAGTGCTGTGAAGGCTCATCACCTCCAAGGTCTCATTCTTGGGTGTCCCAAGACAGGCACTGAATCCTGGAAACCATAGGACCACACAGCTGAAAGCAATCTGCTCCATGGGGCAGTGAGTTACCTCGTCCCTCATGGCAGGTACATGTACAACACATTGAAAATCTCCCATGAGAGATACTCTGCTCCCTCCCTAAGTAACGTACGTGGGTGCGTTATTAACCTCACAGCTTTTAATACTACCTGTCCTAAATCTTCTTTGCTATACCTTCTGCCATCCCCACAGAGATAAAGGGCAATCGATTACCCTTTTTGATACCATATATTTTTTTAGATCTTTAAAATTTATTAGGATGTTTCAAATTCTGTAGACTAAACAAATCCCAGCCCTTTCAATCTTTCTTCATAAGTCATGTTTTCTAGACCTCTGATCATTTTTGTTGCTCTCCTCTGGACGATTTCCAGTTTGTCTGTTTTGGTTTGGTTTTGTTTTGGTTTGTTGGTGGTTTTTTTTTTTTATTTCAGTGCAGAGCCATGGCTCAGCCTTGCAGTGCTGAGAAGGACAATAAACCCCTTCTGTGTCTTACCTATAGCACTCCTGGTCTTGCAGCCCAGAAGGTCTTGTGCTTTTCACAGCAGCAGCAGATTACTGACTTGGGTTCAGCTGTGCTCGGGATTAAGGAATGCTTGCAAGTTTGGGCAAGGTCATATGGAAACACTGCAGGAGATCCAGGATCTCCCAGGGTTATGCCGTAACTCCATTTTTGCTTTGGCTTACCAGGATCCTGAGCCAGATCCCATTGAAAACAATAAGCTTCTCCATGGGCTTCAGCAAGGGGCTTTGGACCAGGCCCTAATTATTGTGTTCTCAGCTGGGTTCATCCCTAATTCTATTAATTTTAACAGCAAATATTTAATGTTTGAGTCATTTTTTTATACTAGGGGAAAAGTTTCAGGCAAAAAAAGAAAGGGAGGAGACTGCATTTTCTTTTTAACTTTCTTCCACTTCCCTTGCTGCAAACTCAGAGTGAGTCCTGCTGCAGCGGCAGCCTGCGGTGGCAGGCAGCTTTGCTTTGATCTTAGCGAAGAGCTTCGTAGGTTAAGCCTGTGTTTTTTCACTGTAACGGTTTATCAAACAATACAGTCCCTTCCAAGGGCAGCCTTTTTCTTGTGCGGTAAGATGTTTATAATTATAAGGCATTTCCTGCTTCTTTTTGATTAAACACACCTGACAAAGTAGGGAAGATGTTGATGCATAAATAAACGGGCACTCCGAGTTCATCACTTCATCAGTCCTTTTCTTCCAAACGCCAAGGAGTTCACTGTGAGGTGAATCCTCTAGTTGAGAAGGAAACAATTGGGGAGATCATATATGAATAGTGTACAGGGTAATTTATCCCTGGCATTGTTCCTTAGCCTGACCTGAGAGCCATTAATAATTGACAGCGGCAAAAACAATCCTTGTTTAAAAATATAAACATCCATACTTTTTTCCAGCTGCTTGAAAGCTCCCACACAGAAGTTAAACAGTCATGTTCTCCATGGCACAAATGAGCATTAATTCCTTGGTGCAAGCTTGCACCAGAAAAGGAGCTGACACCTGCTAATTAGTGGACTGCTAATAATGTTTTCAGTGGCTATTTCTGATGCCTTTGCCCAGGGTCCAAACGAAGCACAGTGCACATGCAGAAACTGGTGTCTCAGGCTGCCATTGCCACCAAAGTCAACAGGGCTCCTCAGGATTTGTGCTGGAGCACTGAGAGATTGATCTGGCCTCTTCTGTTTATTGAAGTTTCCAAAATAGTAGCAGAGCAGTGAGGAGCCCAACTGCTCTGTCATTCAGCAAGTCACCCGCCGGCTCCAGCTGCTGCTTGTCACTTCTCTCCCTGGGGCTCTTTGTTTGCCTGCACTTCTTTCATGTTGCAACAACTTTT